CATATATATATATATATATATATAGCACACACACACACGCATATATATATATATATTGAAGTATATATGCGCGCGTGCGCGCGTGTGTAGGCTATATATATATATATATAAATCTATACTATCTACATACATACATACATACATACATACATACATACTTACATACACACATACGTATATACACACACACACACACATATATATATATATTTATATATACATACATACACACACACACACACACACACACACACATACACACACACACACATATATATATATATAAATATTTCATACAGACATATACATATAAGCGTGTCAAGTCTATCATTTGCCAATTCTCGTGCGGATCAAATGTCAATGTCCAGTGTAGAATACAACATACCCCAATTGGGTTGCCGGCTTGCACCGCTAAGTAGAGCGAGATGAAGGGTTTATCAAAAATTCGCAGTTCATGTTCATGTGGGAAGGAAGCACATTTGTACTATAAGTTTAAGCCAGGACGCAAGAACCAACTTGAAAATGATATATCAATACTACGCTTGATGTTCTTAGCGTCAACACCAAATACGTAGCACTCTAAAAATTGACCAATGAACATGTTTAAGCCTTTAATCAAGCATAAAGTGATTATCAGCTCCAATATGCGTGCACAAAAGCGTGGCGTTACTCGATCGAAATCGTCCCGCTATTCTTCAATTGCTGCTTATAAAAGTGTGGTGGTGAAAAACAAAGGGCAACATGATATGTATTGTCTACGCGTCTATTCAGTTTAATAAATAAAGTAACTATTTTTTTTTGCTAGCTAACATAAATGCAAAACTAGATCATAAGACTGGCATACATTAAGCCAAAGGATACAGTATAGTAAGTTACAATAAAAAAATGACTATTATTATAGCATCTATCCGGCATGAATCGAGCTACCTTCCACCATAAACGTGCGAGTCTAATATCATTGAACCGTTCAGCAACAAACAAATACTCAGATGTAGTGTGACATGAGGAGCTCATGTCTACTTACTGTTATATCGAAACGTATTACATACAATAGATTTCATATATGTAGCTTAATACACATAGGCCCATATACATAACTGTGATAGCAACAATGAAATAAATAAATAAGAAATGATCGCCCAGCGTGTTGTACATACCGGCCCAAAGTCGCCCATTAACTCCACCCATGCCACTATGAGCTGGTTATCTAGTATCTTTAAAAAAATTCAGAATGCCTTGCATCCCAGGCGTGCTGGCGCACGTGTTATTGACCTGTATTTGTAATCTGTGTGTTGAGGTTGTTAGCTTGATGCAATACCATGTCATAAACAAATACACACACAATACTACATACAAATACGACGAACCATAGCTGTCTAAAAAGACAGACGAACTAGCAACAAATTTACAAATTTCTACTCTCCAGAATTTTGAAAGATCTTGATGTAACCAACGTCCAATCAGATCCCAGACACATATAGTTTCGCGATGTTTTTTTTTAAATGTTTTCAATAAAACGAAATCCTGTGCTGTACTGTATTTTCAATTTAGAACTCCTGTAGTCCTGTTCCTCGTTCCCGACCCGGCCTTCTGTCACTATGCATGTAATTGCCACAAGTCTACAACTCACATGGCCCCAGTGGGCCGGAAGGCTAAGGGTCTTGTGACCTGTGTATTTACAGAAGATGTAAATAAACAAATAAATTGGACTCCCCTTACCCACCAGTTGACCTTCCGGCTTCCAGTGACAAATGACGAGTCATCGTAAGAATGCAAGAAGTCATTCAAAAATATATGACTATTTTTTTAGGGGGGGGAAAAGGCCAGGCCCCTGGGGGGTCGATTGTATTCACATTTTAGTAAACTATGTTCCTAAATAAACTGGCAATATTCCAATGTGACTTTTTGTGTATATTATAGAAGGCTATGCTTTTGGTCGCATTAGGCGGATATGTATCACGCATATGCCTCAGTCTTCGCCATCCCCATTGATTCGACATACATAGTAATCGAACGAGCGACGAGTATCGGTCCAGAATGCATCCCGTATGGCGAACTTCTTCAGGATGTACTTTTGTCCCTATGAAAAAATGTACCTGGCTTCCTAAACGCGTTGCTAGTGAATCTACGAATGCCGTGAAGTTGCCTGCACAACTCAGCTCTCGACCACTGCACACCTCAAATCTGAAGGAGACTTCCATACGAAGGGTTCGATTGCCGAATGTAGATTATGCTAAATTCATAACCAGATCTCGCAGGCGGTTTCATACAGGCACGGCTTCGACTGAATCATGGGGCAATAGAAAGGACATCACACAGTATGACAAGTTCCCGTTTGTTATAGTGTCTCGGGCGATTGTTTCAATAAGTATTCTATTGCAGTATAATTTATAAATATGAGATATTTGTGAATTTTTAGTATAGATAGACAACACTATTTCTTTATATATATATATATATATACCGACGTGGACACAAATACACACGCACATACACACACACACATACATACACACACACACACACACACACACACACACACACACACACACACTCGCACACACA